GCGAAATACATGATTAGGCTATGACGTCATCGTGGTGATAATATTCTCAATGGCAGTCGGACATATATGCTATTGAGCCTAGAAAATAATGTTTCTATTCTAGAGAATGGCATTGTGGTAATATTAGTACGTCTTGTGTGACCTTGAGCTCAACTTCTGAGACAACTGAACTGAGTACCTCCATCAAGAAACCACTGGCGTTTTGTTTCGAGTCTAATGAGTGTCGTGGAATTTCACATATTTACGTAATGCAACTCTGGTGGTTCCATGCGTTGACCTCTTTCCAGACCAAGAAGCAGCGTGAACAGGCAACCCAACGAATAGTGCATTCTATTTTGAAACAGATTTAGAAAGAAAATGTTTACGGAAACGCTACACACGGCAGTTCGGTATTTCGCAAAGTTTAAATATGTTGATTACTTTCTGTCGCATACGACTTATTTACCACTTCCGTGTCACTGAGAATGTTCTAGAACCGTACTGTGTCTGGGTGGAATATTCTATATTTTTTAGAAATGGTTGAATAGGTAATAGAACACTGTAGGAGGCAATAGAAGGTAACGGAACTTTTTAGAAATTTGTGGTAAGTTCCAGACTCATTATGTATGCTGATGTAATGGTCTATTTATAGACAGTGGGGGTATATATAGGGGAGTTGTTCAGCACTTTGTTCAGATCGGAGATCTCGTTGAATTGTATTGGAGTTTAAGTATCTAGTTATTGGAGTAGTGGAGTTTTACCGCGTTATTGTACTTGATGTTTGCAGAGTATAATAATACCAGTACCAGTTAAAACCTCATCTGTTGGCTCCGTGTTCGTATTTTATCATCGCCACCAGGGAAGTCTTTCTGTTACTGTTGCCATTTTGGTATTTGAACCATCACACCTGTACTATACCAATTACGGTAATATTACGTTGCGTGTGACACTTTCGCGTCTTGGGAATTATTCATCTCTAGCTGAAGTATGAACAAAGATATACCACCGATAGGAAACATTCACCATGTATTTATATTGATATGTTTGTTCCAATTAGTGTTTTTAAATGTACAATTAAACGACAATTGGGAAAAGAATGATTCGACAAGCTATAGCAAGTTTATGGATGATTTTGATATACTATTTTCTACTTTTCCATCCATTTCTAGTACCATGCCACGAGAGACTACATCACACGAGTTTCATTCAATTTAAAATTATAAATATAATATAATATTTGTACAATAATTGTACTTTAATTCTTTTTAAGTTTAATATTCCACTGGTTAACAACCCCTTGTGTACTTTTTGTAAAGTTGAAAATGAAATTTCGAGGTGGTTCCCAGAATGCATCAACGGCTGGTCTTCATGGTGTTCAGGATATAATACTCGGTTCAACAGAATTGTTTCAGCTCACAAATCATCTTCTCATTCTTGGTAAAATACACTTACGTAAATGCAAACTGCCAGTTCTCTCTTTTCATCACAAATTCACAAAATAGTCCTGTTTATAGTTTTCATTTTCCTTCAGAAGATTGGGACAAAACTAACCAATTTGTTTGAGTCAAGGTTATTATTCACATAACCATGCTGAAATGTATAACGGAGATTAAAGCGCGGAATC